CTTCCTGGTTCTGTGATTTTCTCAAATTTCTTCAACTTGAAATATTTGGGGATTGGAGTCACCAGATGGTGTGGTGGTTAAGGTGCTGGACTCAGATGGCTGACTGCAGTTTGAGTCCCGGACCTGACATTTTGCTTTCTCACTTTCTCTCTCTCTTTCTATCTCTTTCTGGTGAGCACATGTGCCTTATAGCACATCAAATAATAATAACATTTTAAAATCAAAACTAATTTTTTAGAGATTTTAGCTACACAGTGCATGAGCTCACTGGAGAGACGTGGAGAGACAGAAAGTGAGAAATCACCTCCCTGGGGGATGGCCATGCCCCAATCCCTTCTCCATTCTCCTCTTGGGATTTTGGGCACACGGCACCTGCGCCCAGTGTGAGTTTCAAGCTGCTGTGTCTGGCCCTCAAATCTCAGTCAGCTATGTGGGAGTCCAGCGCCTAATCACTATGCCATCTTGCTGGCACCAAAATAAATAATTCTTTAAAAATATATATTTGGAGGTAGTATGTCCTGAACTCCATCAAGTCCAATATGGTTACCTCAGCTCTTGCCACTGAGCTTAACATCCCACATTCTGACCACCAGGAAAAAGATGTTTCTTTTCCTTTAAGACATTTCTACTGGGAACCAGCAGTTAGCGTAATGGCTATGTCGCTGGACTCCCATGTAGTCGACCGCAGTTCGAGTCCCGGACCCGGTGGCTTAAACTCACGCTGGGCACGTGTGCGTGCGTGCCCAGGATCTTGAGAGGAGAATGGAAGGGAAGGGATTGCAGCGTGGCCATCCCCCCTGGGGGGTGATTTCTCGCTTTCTGTCTCTCTGTCTCTCTCTGTCTGTCTGGCAAGCACACGCGCCCTACAGCAAAAATCTCTCAAAAAAAGAAATAAATAAAAAAAGAAAATTTAAGAATTGTTGGGAAATGATATCATTGATCATAGTATTTGAGTTGATTTTCAACAGACCAGTGAGTTTGCATTGGCTGTTAGGACACAATTATTCCAACTATATAATCTATATCTATATCTACATCTATATCTATCTATAGATATCATACTTATGTTTTCTAATGTAGAAATACACAGACATTTACACACACACACACACATACACATTTTATTGTCAGAGGGTGCATGTGCTTGAGAGAGAGAGACAGAGAGACAGAGAAAAGGAGGACAAAAAAGAACACCTCCTCACTAGAACATGGTCATGCCACAGTCCCTTTTCCTCTATTTTTCCATCCTGTCTATATTCGGGATACACATGCACATGTGCCCACATACTTTTTGCTTTGTTTTTTTTTTTTTTCTGGAGAGGTTTTCGCTATAGGGCGAGTGCGCTCGCCAGAAAGACAGAGAGAGACAGAGAGACAGAAAGCGAGAAATCACCCCCCAGTGGGGATGGCCATGCCGCAATCCCTTCTCCTCCATTCTCCTCTCGGGATCTTCGGCATGCATGCACATGTACTGGCATGAGTTTAAGCTACTGGGTCTGAGACTCGAACTACAGTCGACTACATGGGAGTCCAACGACATAGCCATTAGGCTAACTGCTGGTCCCTGCCCATATACTTTGCAAGTCACTGGGCCAGAACTCCAATCACATGCTGGCTGTGTAGGATCAGGCTGCCTTAGCCTCTAAGCCACAGGACTGGTCCCAGACGTTACATACTGTAATGCATATTATTTTATGACAAAGCACTTTTCCTTTGATTTCTTCTTCATATAAGAGTTGAAAAATTGTAGCCAGTAGGTGATGCGGTGTTTAGGTGCTAGACTCCCACAAGTCCAACTGCGGTTCAAGCCCTGGACCTGGAGGCCAACACATATAACGCATAGGGCTACATTAAAAAACTACACACTATGTATTTTACACATTTACCATTGGGTTCTGATACCAATGAGCACAACTTCTTATCTTTAGTAGGCAAAAGTAACACTTATTCATGGATTATAACTGTTAAATTGCTAAAGATCCCGCTAGAGATTTTTATTAAATAATACTCCTGTGGCCTGTTAGATTCAATGAAATAGGTAATGTCATTTCTAAAAATAACTCCTTTCCAGGAAGAGTACTGTATAAAGGAGAACACTGTCTCGACATCCCTGGTGATCCCTGAATTTAATTACACTAGCAACGGTCTATTGGAAAATGTTTGTGTATATCTTTGTAAAAGCAAAGGATGGCATTTAAAATGGAGAAGCTAAAATGAAGTGGTTGATGAGTATCATTGGGGCATCGGGATGAGAGAAGGGTGAGAGCGATGGCCGGTCAGATTTGCATATATTTATTTATTTAACCCCAGGGGTTGTAGTGCCACAGTAGATGACATAAGGCATCCCATTTCAGAAATTGGCTTAAGGTGGATTTAAATAATTCACCATTGAATGAAATGTGAATCTGGAAACCCAATATCCTTAGCAGATGACCTAGGAACTCTCAGCTTGCACTTTCCTCTTGACTCCAATGCTAGCTTCTGCTTTTCATATACCCTTATTTTTATCAATCCTAAAGTTTGTTCTATCCAGAGGGTCCCATCCTAATGTTCTAGGAAATTGTGTCCTTTCGTTCTACCCAACTTATATCTTTTTTTGGAAATTTTTGTCAGCGGGCACATGCGCTTGACTGGGAAGGGGGTTATAGGGTGGAAGTATCTCTATAGGGAATGATCATGCCGCAATCCCATCTCTATCTCTCCTTCCTGTCAGGATTTTAGGCCTCTGTGGACATGTCTGGGACTCAAGCTGCCTGGTTGGCCGTGTGGAGTCCAGCCACCTTAACCCTCACGCCATGGGCTGCCCCACCCTCAACTTAGTTTATTTTTAAAGAGATTTTTGCCATAGGGCATGTGTGCTGGCCAGGGAGACAGACAGAGACAAAGAGATAGAAAACAAGAAATTACCTCTCAGGGGGATGGTCACGCCACCATCTCTTCTCCTCCATTCTCCTCTCAGGATCTTGGGTATGCACACACACACACACACACACACACACACACACACACCATGTGAGTTTTAAGTCACTGGGTCCAGGACTTGAACTATAGTCTGCTGTGTGGGAGTCCAGCAATGTAACCATCACGCAATCTCCTGCTCCCTCCCCACACACCAATTTATTTTAAACCACTTTCTCTACTGACTCTTTTCTATCAGATTATAAATATATTCCTGACACAGATTATAAATATATTCCTGACACTTTCATGTTATAAAAACTTCAAACAAAACCCAAAATCTGCCAATCCAACACTCAATGAGCAACATTTAAATAAAAGCAGCATTACATCGGTTAAACTATTACTTAAAATTACTGCGATATAAGGGAGCTAGATTCCACATAGCAACCGCGGTTTGAATCCTGGCCCCACAGGCTTGAAAAACACACGAGGTGTAAGTGGATGTGTGCCCCAGATCCTGACAAGAGGGAGAAATGGAGACGGGGTTGTGACATGACCACGCCTCACCGGCAGTGCCTTCTTCCTCTTCCTCTCTCTTTCTCTGTCTCTCTCTAGTGAGTGCATGTACTCTCTCACAATAAAAACAAAAATCCTGTAATATGGATGATGTATACCGCAAAAGATACAGTATTTACACAGACAATTTAAAAAAACCATGAACATGCACTAGCATGCGTCAGCCCTAACTGAGGTTTTCAGCAAGTAGTTTCTCTAGTAGCTTATTTGTCAAGTAGGATGGGTTTAAAGTTTTTCGGACCTTGTCCTTTGGAAAATTACATAGTTGCTTGGCAGCCAGGAGGTGAGGAGGTAGCCTAGGGATAGAACTGCTTCTCCGACAGTTTGACCCTGGTTCTCCTTACATTAGTCACTGTTTTACTGTCCCTTCTCTCCTTATTGATCACTAGCTCTGGGGATAGTTTGATGCCGCTAACTCCCATGCTTTCCGAGGACTCTGTAGTACACGTCGGGCTAGTTCTAGTTTTCTCCTGACTGTGTTTGGGACTTGGCTTTCTCAGTCTTATAAGCCAGCATCCACCTGTTGCAACACTCCAATTCGCACAATTCTCTTGCCCTGGCCTTTTCTCCTGTTCACTCTGTCCATAACTCCTCTATGTGTTGTTTGGTGAGTTTCAGGAAGACCAAAAAAAAAAAAAAATACATATTTAGATAGATTACCTCACTATGGATGAGCAGGATGAGAAAAAAATACTAAAGTTTTAAAATGGCAATTTTAAGGATTCGGACTAAAATCAATTATACCTCACATTAAAAAAAAATTGTGAGTGAAGTCTGTAAACTCACTGAAACTCTTTATAGGGACCAGCAGATGGCATAATGGCTATGTCATCCCCGGGGTGTGATTTCTCACTTTCTGTCTCTCTGTCTCTCTCTGTCTTTCTGGTGAGTGCATGCGCCCTATAGCAAAAAATCCTCAAAAAAACCCCAACCAACCAAACAAACAAACTCTTTCTAACAATGAAACAGAAGGTAGAAAACTACACTACAGGAAAAGTTCACTTGGTGACGGGACGAGTGCATGCTGCGTGTAATCTGGCCTCTGGGCCACTCTGGGGGATGGAAGGGGTGGCCCTAGGCTGTACGTGCTCCTGAGAATTTAATGTCTGCTTCCTCAGCACTCGTACCTTTGCCACTATGTCTGGGCCTCAACTCCCAAACCCTCTCCTTGGTGTACTGTGAAATTCAAGATCAGATATACACAAAATCCCTTATATCCTAAGTTTTCTGACTTTTCTCTGAAAATTTCCTAAAAAATCTCTTCTTACCTCACTTTAACTGAAAACTGGATTCCTCCGGGGACACTGTTTTCCCTGCAGCCCTCTCAAATGACTGTCTTGTCTCCTACTCTGTCACACCCTCTGTGATAGTTTTCCTCTCAAAGGCTTCCCATGATTCTGGCCTTCTGCGAGCCACTTACCTCCACAGAACTGACTGACCCCGATGGAATGCAGGGTAAATGACATGTGACTTCCAAGGTTAGGTCATAAAGGGCATTGTCGCATTTATTTGGTCTCTTGGATTACTTGTCTGATGTTCTGAGGAAAGCCTCTGCCATGCACGAGGACTCAAGCAGCCCCATGGAGATACCCAGCTGGAGAGGAACCGAGGCCTCAAACCAACACCCAGCACCAGACTGTAGCGATGTAAGTGAGACACCTTGAAAACGGATCCCCCCAGCTTCAGATGGGCCTTCTCATGGCTGGAGCTTCCCGATGACTGAGTGCAACCCCAGGAGGAGAGCAGCAGCCGGAACTGGCCAGCTGAGCTGCTCTACTTCCCTGACCCACACAAACCATGAGACAAAGAATGAATGATTTTTGTTTGTTTTCAGTACTGAGGTTCTGAGTGATCTGTTATGCAGCTTTGGTGACCGGAGCTCCAGTGACCCCAAAGGAAAAGTGATTGCCTTTTTTTTCCCTGATTGACTTTGCGACTCTCTCTCCACTACTATCCTCACTTTGAATCTCACGTCATAAAACGTTGCCACCAACTACTTCTCTTTATTAGAGTCAGTACCAACTCATGACTCATGGTCCCTTTCTTTCAAATTACTCTTTTTTTTTTTTTTTCTGTAGAGTTGTTTGTTTTTTGTTTTTTTTGTTTTTGTTTTTGTTTTTTCCTTAGAGCAAGTGCATTTGCTGGAGAGAGAGACAGAGACAAAGACAGTGAGAGGGAAAGTGAGCAATCACTCCCCAGGGGAGATGGTCATGCCACAATCACTTCTCCATTCTCCTTCCGGGATCTTAGACATGCACACACATTTGCCTGGTATGAGTTTCAAGCCACTGGGACTCAACCCACAGTCAGCCACAGGGGAGTCCAGCGATGTAATTGCTATGCCATCTGCTGACCTCTCCAACTACTCTTTCTATACTTGGTGATTTAAATGGCCACTTTGATTATACTTTCAATTTCTGGCTTCTTAGTTCCTTGACCTTCTCTTTTTTTTGGGGGGGAGGGGTAAGTTTTTTTTGGGTTTTTTTTTTGTTTTGTTTGGTTTGGTTTTTTTAGAGGAGCCTTTTCTTTTCTTTTTTGTTGCAAATATCAAATTATGACCATGGAATATGTATAACAAGCTCCAATCCAATTCCTGATTATTCAGAGCCTAATCATACAGTTTGTTTTACCCCAGCCATTTGCTTCTACTTTTCCTGCCTGCTGCCTGCCTTTTGCCATTTCACTGCTTGTTAGTCTTTGGCCAGAGTATCCCAGAAAAAGGAATTTTAAAAAAGAGGTGGGGGGAGGCAGGCCAAACCATTTGAACTTCTTCCAGTTTTGTCTAAAGTCCCTAGAGGAGGAGCTGAGGGTGCATGTGCACATAAGAGCCTTAACTTATCTTCAACGCTCACTATATTTCTCAGTCCTCCACATTCAACCCCTAGTACAATCAATACTTTAGAGATAACATTTTGTGGACTTCCTGTTTCTCAAAGAAGATAGCTACCACTTTCAAGAAAAAGTGTAATATTTTGATTTTGTATTGAATATTTTTGCTTTCTATGTGTCTTGTTCCCTAGAAAAATATGACCCAGACACTAAAACAAATTTCATTATTTCTTGACTGACTCCCTTAAAACTCATCTTTTTCATGTGGGAAAACAATTACTAATAACTATTCTATCTACTTCTGGGGAGGGGTAAGTTTTTTTTGGGTTGTTTTTTTTGTTTTGTTTGGTTTGGTTTTTGCTATAGGGCACATGCGCTCACCAGAAAAGCAAAGAGAGACAGAGAGATAGAAAGTGAGAAATCACTCCCCAGGGGGATGGCCACACTGCAATCCCTTCTCCTTCTATTCTCCTCTCGGGATCTTGGGCACGCATGCACACGTGCCCGGCGTGAGTTTAAGCCACTGGGTCCAGGACTCGAACCGTGGTCGACCACATGGGAGTTCAGCGACATAGCCATTATGCTAACTGCTGGCCCCCCTTGACCTTCTTTCTCTTCAACAGTCTTAACCACCATTCCAATCAGTCATTTATTCTCATGCTCGTATCAGGGAACACACCATTATAGCTGCCATTTGTCCACAGTCTTCATTTCAAGCACCTTGTTTGTCAATCCACCTCATCACCTCTATCCCCAGCAATCCTTCAACCCTAGGTAGATGTACAAACATTTAATTCTCATACTTCTCATTGTCTTTCACACTCTTACAACCTTATGTTGCCTCTCATCCAGCTTGGGTTACGTCGGCAATCACTATTGCCACACACTTGTGCATGCACACCCATATCTCTTGAGTCTCTATGTCTTAGCACACTCACCTGGTAAAGAAAATAACCTTAATGAAGTGCCAGTTTGTCCATTTGTGTTTGCACTTGTGCAACCGCAAGAAATTTTGTATTCCTTTTCTGTGAGTTTTATGACATAGACATCGATTTGTCACTTGACTGGCTCTTTACATATTGATTTCTAGGAAGTTCTTTATATACTAGTGTGATCTCATTTTACATACGTGACTAAGAGTCTTAATGAGGCAGTTGCATCACCCAGCAATCCTGCTATTTCCCTAAACTGACATTAGTCAGTTTATTGTCCCATGCTCCTAAGCATTTCATAATTTCTCCTTGCTCTTCAAACACCCAACAGCTGTACCCCCATATTCTCTTTCACCTTATGTGTGTTTCCTTGAGAAATATCAATGCCCCTCAGACGAAGACCGAGGAACATACCTGTCATTGCACAATGCTGAGATTTTTGACTTCTTGCCACAAGGGTGAAAGCACGTGATGGAGGACCATGAGGACATCTCTGAAAACGTCATAGAGAGGATTTACTGTAGGATGTGGTGCGTGTTTGGTGACTTTGTGTGGAGGATTCTAGAAATGAGGCTTTGTCCTTGGTTAGATGCTGTCAAAAAGACTTGTGGAAATTGTACGATTAGGTATCTTGGTAACTGTTATCGAGACGGCAGATAGAATAAAGCATGTAGAGTGTGTAATTGGGGGCCCAGGTGGCTGGTGGCATAGTGGTTAAGGTGGCTGGATCCCAGATGGGAGACTGAGCAGTTAGATTCCCAGACCTGTGGCTTGAAAAACTCACCGGGAGCACGTGCAGGCTTGCCTGGAAATCCTGAGAGAATGGAGAAGAGAATGAAAGAGAAGGGGTGGTGCCATGGCCGCCCCTCCTAGGAGTGCTTTCTCACTTCCTCCCTGTCTCTCTCCAACAAGCACACATGACCTGTAGCAAAAATAATTTTTAAAATTTTATTTTAAATGTATTTATTTATATTCCTTCACCGTACATCATTCCAGTATACAAAATGAGATTTTTCCATCCAGAATACACTGTATATTGGCTCAGTCATGGATATTACCATATGTGTTATAGTGAGCCAAATAATTTCCCACTTCCCGTTTCTTATAAAGTTTGATTCTCCACCCCACCTCTTGATTCCTTATCTCTCTCCTCTGTCATTTCCCACCCTCAGATACACTGTCTCTGGTATCTACGGTTGCTTTCCATGCCCCCTTTCTTTTCACACTTTATTGATTATTCACTAAAGATCTTAATTAATCTAAACACTTTTTTTTTTTAAAGTTTTTGCTATAGAGCATGTGCATTCGCCAGAAAGACAGAGACAGACAGAGAGACAGGAAGGGAGAAACCACCCCCCCCCCAGGGGAGATGGCCATGCTGCAATCCCTTCTTCTCTATTCTCCTCTTGGGATCTTGGGCACAGATTCACATGCGCCTGATGTTGAGTTTAAGGCACTGGGTCCGGGACTCAAATTGCAGTCAACTACGTGGTAGTCCAATGACATAGCCATTATGCCAACTGCTGGTTCCATCAGCAAAAATAATTTTAAAAAATTGTAATTGAGAGACCAGTAGATGGCATAATGGTTACATTGCTAGACTCATACATGGCTGACCATGGTTCTAGTCTCAGACCTGGCAGCTTGAAAATCATGCTGGGGGGAACCAGCAATTAACGTAATGGCTATGTCGCTGGACTCCCACGTAGTCGACCTCCGTTCGCGTCCTGGACCAGGTAGCTTAGAACTCACGCTGGGTGCGTGTGCGTGCGTGCCCAAGATTCTGAGAGGAGAATTGGAGGAGAAGGGATTGTGGCGTGACCATCCCCCCTGGGGGGTGATTTCTTGCTTTCTGTCTCTGTCTCTCTCTGTCTGGCAAGCACACGTGCCCTATAGTGAAAACCTCTCCAAAAAAAAAAAAAATCATGCTGGGCACATGTGTATGCATGCTCAAAATCTCAAGGGGAGAGTGGAAGAGAAGGGATTGTGGCCATTCCCCCAGAAGGTGATTTCTTGCTTTCTGTCTCTCTGTCTCTCTGGTGAGCACTCACACGATACAGCAAAAATTTCTCTCTCAAAAAAAAAAAAAATTGTAATTGAGAAAGCAGTAGCAGTCACTCTTATTAGTCATTTTGTGGCCTAAAGCGTGTCCATGTTTTTGTGTTTAGGCATTATTACACAGTGGCCTTATTTTTGTCTTGCTATATCAAGATCACAAAGTGACTCTATGCTTTTTTAAAACTAATTAATAAATTTCAGTTTGCTATAGGGAGGATGCACTCACTGGAGAGAGACAGAGAGAGAAAGAGAGAGAGAGGCAAAATGAGATATCGCCCCCTCCCAGGAGGATAGTCATGTCACAATCCCTTCTCCTCCATTCTTCTCTTGGGACTTTTGGCACATATTAACATAGGCTTGGCATGATTTTCAAGCTGCCTGGTCTGGGACTTGAACCATATATTTGGACATGTGGAATCCAGCAGCCTTAACCTCCATGCCACTTGCTGGCCTGAGTAACCTTGTATTCTGAGGCATTATTTTTGTGTTGTTCAGTGGAGCACAATTTATACAAAGTTTTGTAGGACAAGGATGGGAAACCTGTCCTTTATTATCTTATTAAAAAATGTGTCCTTTAATATGTAAATATATTTAAAATATACATTCAGTATCTGGCATTTTGTCGAACTGGAGTCAACTCTTTAGCTTTTCTCAACTTTACATTATGACTTCCAAATGTAAAGAAATAGTAAAAGAATCTCTGAACAACATAATACCCTCCACTTAGAAGCAGTAGTTAATATTTTGCTGTTTTGCTCTCTGTATTTTTCTTTGTTGAACAAAAGCAAGTTGCAGACATGATGACACTTCATTCCTGAATATGTCGG